CTAGCCCCCGACCCCGCTGGGTCCGTGGAAAAATTGTCTTCCACGAAACCGGTCCCTGGTGCCAAAAAGGTTGGGGGACCACTGTTCTAGAGGGAGGAAAAAGTTCACTTCATTAGTCAGGTCTATATGACTACTTAGGCTGCATTAAGTTCTAAATTTCATTGTAACTTAATACACTGGCATTCTGGCTTTGTGCAGCTTTACAAAAAAAATTCCCTTTTTTAGTTTCGAGCCTATGTCTAAGTGACCGATAAATAGGAACTTTAAAAGCTTAAAATTCTGAATTGTTTTGTGATGCATATTACCTCTAGTTTTCCATCTAGTTTTCATCAAACCCGAGTCTAAAAGTGTTTCATCATCATAAATGGTGATGGTTTCAGTTTGAGATTGAACTTGCAGAATTTTTGCCAATAAACAGTTAAAAGTTAACATGACTATATCAGGGCAGTGTTTCTCAGAAACTGGAGGCCTGCTAGCAGCATCCGGCAATGCTTCTGAAAACACAGGTATTTCCTCCTCCCCTCTCCTGTTAAAAACCACTGGGTTAGGCAAAAAAAAAAAAAAAAAAAAGAGAGAGAAATTTAAGAAAATGAGTAATAAAACATTATAATGTAAGTGGTTCAAAGATAGTTTAAGGCAGGATGTCTGAGATTACCCCTAACCTTTCAAGGTTGATGTAAAATAGGAAGCCATGTTCTCTGATAGATACTTCTGTCAGAGAAGTAATTCTAGGCTGAATAGACAGGCCAGTAGTCTAAATCAAAACAAAAATGCTTATGTTCTTATGACAATATTGGTGCATTTGCTGTCCTCTTACTCCCACGACTATACTCTCTGAGACATCCATAATATCCTAAAAGCCAATTATCTTAATGTCAGTTTACTTAAAATACATAATTTTATGGCATGAGATACCCATTTCTGATTTGCTGATTACTCAGACCTTATCAAAATCAGGCTGCATTGCATGAGTCTGCATCTATCCATAGCTTTAAATTCAGCAGCTGACTCCACATTGTAGAAAGAAACACATAATTTCTTTTTATTTATTCCTTATTTACTTGAGACTGGATCACTGAAAAACTTCAAGAGGAGAAATGAGGATGCCTCTTTGGCATCATCACTAACTTTCCTAGGATGATGTCAGTAAGAAAAAATGTCAATTGCATCACTCCAAATGTATGCAATAGTTATTTTAATGTTCGATCCACCTACTCCATAAGAAACTGAAATGATTTAAATAGTAAGCCATAAAGTGGGAAATTATGAAATAAATATGTGGCTATCTCCATATGCTATGTATTTCAGGTGAGCCTAGGGGTGTGTTCATTTATTTTCATATAGTCTTCAGTTGTTTAAAATAAACAACATTCTTTAAAGGACTATATTCGCCAACATTTTGTTATGAAAATGTTTAGACACATAGAATAGTTGAGACTTTATAATGAATACCCCAATATCTATTACCTAGATTCTACACTTAATGTTTTTACTCTTGCTTCATCTATCCATCCATTCATTCCTCTTTCCATTCATTTTATTTACATTTTGATATGTTTCAAACTAAATTGCATACACTAGTACACTTCATCCTCAAATACTTCAGCACGCATATCATTAACTAGTGTTCAATATTTAAATTTTTTGATGCAAAATTTATACATAATGAAATATACAAATCTTAAACATTTGATTAGTTTTGACAAGTACATACACTTTTGTAACCAAAACCCCTATCAACATGTAGAACATGACTATCATCCCAGAAAGTTCCCTCATGCTTCCTCCAAGTCAATACCCAGCCCCACCCAGAAGCAACCATTGTTCGAATTTTTTTCCATCATAGTCTGTTCTAATACTTCATAGAAGTGGAATTGAACAGTGTGTATTCTTTGTTGTAAGGCATCTCAGCATAATATTTTCAAGATTCATCCATGTTGTTGTATGTATTATATCATGTTTTTTCCTTTTTTTACTTCTGAGAAGGGTCCTCCCAGTATATGAATATACTACAGTTTTTAAATCTAGTTTTCTGTTAATGAACACCTAGGCTGTTTCCAGTTTTGGGCTATTATGAATAGTTGCTGTGAACATTCTTGCACCAAAAAAAAGCAGCAACGATTACTGTTTCAAAGGTCAGTTGCATTCCCTGTATGATACATTATTTTGTATTTTCCCAGAAGGTACTATTTACATATTTGTAAGGAAGCTTCCTGGAACATGATTGAAATATGTGGTTTAGTAGATAGAATCATGAGGAGTGGGTGGGGAGTCCTGTCCTATATGAAATTAAATTGCTTACATGCATTTTATTAATAAAACCATATGGACTGAAGAGATGAATATAACTTCTATTGTTCACTCATTGATCTTCTCTCTCATATAGCTGAGAGTTACAAATTCATACTGATATCTATTCTTTTCAGGGAGGTTGGATCAAAGTTACCTAGATTCTAGTGGACTAGGTATTTGTGAAATTAATTTTGCCAATTCCTATGACTCTAAGAATTCTCTTTCATACCTTCCAAAGGAGTTTAACAAAATTCTTGCTTCTGCTTGCAAACTGTCCCACCTTCATTCTAGCCTGGGTTGAGCATCCTTAAACCCAGAGGACTGCACTATGATTATGGAACCTTCATGCAGTAACCCTCCCTTGTTGCTGGTTTTACTCTTCCAAATGAAGCACAAAGTACCTTCTACTATGAGACTGAGCCATTTATGTACTAGAACTCCGATTTAGAACAATGGGAAAAAAATCAACATATATCTTTGACCAATTACTTAACCACATTTCTTTAGCTGTTAAATTCATATAACTTAATGACTATCCAGAAAAATTTTAAAAAGCTTTTAAACCCAGAGCTAAAGACTCAGCATTAAAAGTTGAACTTGGCCAGGGGCAGTGGCTCATACCTATAATCCCAGCACTCTGGGAGGCCAAGGCAGGAGGATTGCTTGAGGCCAGGAGTTCGAGTAGCCTGAGGAACAGCAAGACCCCTCTCTACTAAAAACAGAAAAATAAGCTGGTGTGGGGGTGCGTGCCTGTAGTCCCAGCAACTCAGGAGGCAGAAAGAGCCCCTGAGCCCAGGAGTTTGAGGCTGCTGAGAGCTCTGAAGATACCACTGCACTCTAGTCCCAGCAACAGCTCTCAAAAAAAAAAAAAAGTTGAACTTATTTCTGTATGTTAATTTTCTAAATGGTCATGTTCTCTTCCACATCACTGTCCATCCAGCCTTGAGTCACCTTTCACACGTCCCCTCTCCCTCACTTCACAGCGAACTCAACACCAAATCTCATTAACTTTACTTCCTAAACCCCACTCAAATCCATCCAGTTCTCTCTGTATCCACAGTCAGTCACTACCCTTGTTTAAGACACAGACCACCTCTTGTTGGGATTCCTGCTAGTCTCCTAACTCAGCTTTTACAAACCGCTTGAGCCCTGTAGCCAGTTCTCCCCAGGGCACTGCTGACACCACACCCAGGGCCCTCCCCACCTTAAAACTGCCCCAATATTAAAGACCTCCACCTTCACCAAGCCAAAAAGCCTCTCCTTTCTGCCTAAGCCACGGTTTCTTGAAATTCAGTATTCTCCCTTGGTTTAGGAAAGGCCAGAACAATGCTAAGAGCTGTCTTTCTCAGGCATTCTTCTGGGCCAGATCTCCCACCCCCCTCCTCGCTTTGTTGACCTTAACATTAAATGCTTCATAGTCCCATTTATCTTTCCCTTAAAGCACTTATCCAATTTTAATTTTGTGATTATCTCATTACTACAAACTCTTCCTCACTAGAGGGCAAACTCTGTAAGCAGGAAACAAGACTAATTAATTCCTTAAAGCTCCGTTGTGCCTGGCACAATAAACAGTAGTTGATTTGCCAGATTCTCCCCTCTACCTTGTGTTCTTCTCTTACATTAACATCTTTCATAACATGTACTTGGAACCGAGGTTTCTCAGTAGGAAAATTTATTTTCCTTCAGGAGTCTTAGGCCATGGAGCCTACTAAATGATAAACAGGAAAAGAAATCCCAAATCACTTCGCGACCTTCCCCAACAAGGCCTCCTCCGGCGGCAGCAGGCAGCAAGAGAAGCATTTGTCCGGCCTTTCCCGCGTACACGCTAGCACAGGTGCCCCTGCCCAGCTCGCCCGGCCCGAGCGGGACCCAGCACGGAGGAGCGGGGCACTTCCGGGCGGAGCTGACCCGGTTACGTGTGGCAGCGGCGGCCACGCCCACCGGGGGAACGCGACCCGCGACAGGCCTGGGCCAGAGAAGGGACGAATTGCGCGCGCGCGCAGGTGGGCCGCAATGGCTGGGCGGAACGTGGGATATCGCTGGACCAGCGATCCTGGGAGGCTCGGGCAGCGACCTGTGCCCGAAGAAGGCCCCAGGGCCCAGCCAAACCCCAGCCAAACCCCGACTCCGCCGCAGGGAATATGGGAACTCCCCGCCCCCGCGGGACAGAGTAGCCATGACCTTACAGGGACGCGGCTGAGCACTCTGCCACCTCCTCCGCAGGCACGTCCCCTAAGACCATGTCCTCCCGCCGCAGGACCCCTCATCGCTCCGCGCCCCTCACCTCCAGCATTACGTGTCCTGGGGTCGGCCATTTCTAAGGTCAGGCAGAAGGAGCCAATAAATGCTCTCCGGAGACACCCCTTCGCTTTCCGTAGTGGGCGGGGCTTCGACCCGCGTCCTTTAAAGGAAAGGTGACATGGGGAACAGCGCTTTTCGGCTGGTGAGATTAAATTCCGCCGACAAAAAATGTGAAGCGCATGGGGGAGGTTCCTGTAGGGAAATTGATGCTCACCTGACTCCCACTTCTCCAGAGGTGAGATGAAGATGTCGACTTTCTGTAGCAATCAGAGCATCCCTTCCTCCAGTTACATTAACGCCAATCTCGGCATGGCTACGTCTCCCACTAGGGCTTATACACCGTTTTCATAGTGTTTTTTATTTAATAAAATATTTTGTATTTAACCAAATATTTCATAAACGTCTTTTGTAAAGATTGTGAGTTAAAGAGCACTGTTGGCAATTTACGGGTGAGCAGGGAGACTCGAGGGTGTAAAAGGCTTCCCTCGGTTTCCAAGTGGCTCGCAGAGGGCTGGACTTCCCACCTGCGAGCACTCGGTTCCCGGTCAGGTGCAGGTCACGTTGCAATTGGGAGAGGTTCTACCAGGTCATCAATTTGACCAAAGGGAAAACGGACCCGGAGTGATTAGCAGGCTTGCCCAGAGTCCCAGTAGAGCCACTTGTAAACCTCGGTGCAGTCCGGTGCCCCTGGCTTCTCTCCTACTGTCTGTTGGGGCCTATCCCTGGGCCACCGGGCTGCCAGCTGCTGTTTGTTTAGGATTGGGGTTAACCACCTGCCCCTCCTTTTCTTAAATAGGAAATTCCTCGATGCAGAGTGAGAATTTACAATCCTGGCTTAGTGAAGCCACCTATAATCTGGGAATAGTTTGAGTCCTTGTACGAAGAGAAACTCTAACTTCTTATCTTATTTAGTTCTCATTAAATAACTCCTTGAATGAGTCGTTATCTCTTTTATTACAGATGACAAAACCAGTTCAGCCTTAAATATCTCCTTGAGAGCAAAGACCAAGTCTCAGTTTCCTCATCAAGTCCACAGTGCCTGGCAGCGTTGGCACTCACTGTTAAAATAGTAGGGTGGTAAACTCTGAAACAACTCTGTGTGTGACCCAAAGTTCAGATCTGCATGTTGGCCATTTCCAAGTTAAACAAGATGGATTAAAGATGCATTTTATTCTACCAAATTATTTCTCAGTACCAAGATATATGTTTGTCTGATACAGATACCAGGATAGAATGAGTAGCACAATACTTTTGGAAATGTTAGATGTTCAGTAATTATAATTGTCCACATCTATTATTGCTTGTACTTGTGTCCTTGACACTGTTCTAAGTACTTAACATAAATCAAGTTGTTAATCTTCAGGACAACCTTATGAGCTAATTACTATGGTTACCCATTTTACAGATGAAGGAACTGAAGCATGAAGAATTGAATTTGCCCAAGGTCACACAACTAGTAGCTGAATCAAGATTAAAAAAAAAGAACCCTAGGCAGCCTAGTGCCTGAGTAGGTGCTCTTAACCCTAAATGTTCCTTACACTGCTAGAGTAGTGAGTGAAGCAGCGAAGTTACAAGTCCTCAAAAACACTAAATGACGTGAAATGTGTAAAAGTAACTGAAGCATTTAGTACCCAAGCTAAGGACTTAAAGTTGGTGAGATTATGATATGAATAAATTCACATCAACTAGTCACTGGTAACCAAAGCTACCTGCCATCATCCATTTGCAGCCCTTTTTGAAGGCAGATGTGTTCAGAGTAGGCGGTTTGAGAAGCTTTCTAGACTGCCATTGTCAGATGTCTCCATACATCTTTTCCCTTGAACTCCACTTTGACCTCCAGCCAAAATGGGACTTGACAGCTTTTAAAGAGTCATTGGGAGTCTTGGGCTCATCTTGGTGGTGGCAGATTTTGAAGACCTTTGAATAAAGACTTTGTGGTTTGGTAAGGTAATATTACTAGCCCACAGATCTGTAAACTGTCTGATCTGATATGTGCATAGAAGAGGACTCTCAGACATGTATAGAGCTTTCCCAGTTCTTATGGTTTCTATTATACATATAGTTTACCAAAATAAAAAAGTCAAATCCTAGTGGCTCTAAAACTTCTACACTTTCCACTACATAGTAATTTCCATTGCAGGCCTGTGAAGTTTCTCATTCAATGCATATGTGTATTGAATACCCTGGTGGAGGATTAATGGAAATATTCTGTCCCTCTCCATGCCTGTGAGCTTTCAAAGTCCTCTCAATTTTCCCACATTCAGAGGGAATCTTCTAAAACAGGGAGGTGTATGAGATGCAGTTGCTTAGCCCAAGGTCATTGAGGTACAATATATCTGATCCACAAAGGAATTATTCTATGGGTGATTTCTTTAAGAAGTTGTTAACACTAAGCTGTGTCTTCATAATGCCACAATGACTGTAACAATTAATTTTAAAAGCTAATCTTATATTAATCAAAATCCTGGGTTTATTTTGAAGTTATGTACATGCTACAAAGCCTGTGTGGGTTCAGATATTCAGCATATTCTTCAACAAATTGTTGTTCATGGATTACAGTTAGTTTATATTATCCCCCGCCCCCCCC